ACGCGTCAAGGCCGCCCGCTCCTAAGGTACCACCATCTCGATTTCATATTTTTATTATTATTATCTAGTATAGTTAGGATTTTTTTTATTCCTAAGGTACCCCACGTGCCCTCGCAATCCTCGAGCGGCCGGCGCAGAAGCAAAAGAGTTGATGATGGTCTGCTAGTGCTAACATTTATAGGAGCATCTAGGGCCATCGAGGCTATTTTCATTGAGTATTAGTGTCTTTGCGATATCTTAGAACGACTATTGTTATGTGATGGAGAAAGTACCCCTTCCGTCCTAAATAAATGCACAACGAACGACTATTGTTATGTGACGGAGAACGACTATTGTTATCTCCTAATAGCGTACTAATATTTATGATACATAATATGTACTATTACATTAAGCATGGAGTATACTTTCGTAATAAACTTATTAGGAGATATAAATATTGATACCGTTTTTTTTAGTTTTGATCAAACTTAAACATATTTGACTACTCGAGAAGCACGATGTGTATTTATTTTGAGACGGAGGGTTAACCTTGACGTTGCAGGACGTGAAGACTATTTTAGGCCTTCGGTTGGGGGGACTTCCAGTGACAGGGATAGTTGACAACGATCACTGGAGGGAGCTGGTGGCTCAGTTTACTGGCTTTCTTCCACCGGACGACGATGCTTCCAAGAAAAATAAGTGAGTAATTAAACCTATTTAATACTTGCATTGCTTTATAGCTGGCATCGGGTCTCATTTTCTTTGATCAATTATAGAAAAAGTTTCGGTGTTTCGTCGTCCTAGATCACAGAGCGCTTTGATTACTTGGACCCATAAGCTGAGGAGGCTCAGATCGTCAGGTTCGCTCGAGTGTGGCTGTGGCACTTTCTTGGTGCTTTCCTCTTCCCAGACGCCTCGGGCAACACCATCAGCTGGATCTTTCTTGACATACTTCGCCAGCCGTGGGAGAACATAGCGGGGTACAGCTGGGGCAGCACAGTCCTAGCATAAACGTATCGACAGCTATGCGTTGCCTGCTGTCGCACCTCAGGACATACGAACCTTGGGGGTTGCTCCTACCTACTCCAGGTTTGGTGTTGGGAACGATTGCCCGTTGGGAGGCCCCTTAATAATGGTTTACCGGTAAATACTTCGGTTCATTATATTCTTGCAGGCAGTTAGATATGATGAGATTATTTGTTGCTAATTAATTATTGTGTTCAATGCAGCGATGGAACGGCCATGATACACTCCCTACAGCTCTGTATATCTGGACGGAAGCACAGTTAGTTAGAGGGAATGCGTGGCGCAAGTACAGGGAGTACACGGACGGTCTCGACGTCCTGACACAGCACCAGGTTACGCTCTCTATACTATCGTACCAGTGTCTTCTTCGATGTACACTATATCACAACCTAATATAATTACAAAATTTTAGGTGTTTTGGTGTCCTTGGGATTCTCCGTAGCTCCAGGGCTATCTGAGTCCTGTCACTAGGGACGAGTCACACGAGTATCGCTGCGACGTCCCTCTTATTTTCTTCCATGTGGTCGAGATCCACTTGCCCATCCGGGTCTATAGACAGTTTGGAAGAATGATAGCCTACCCACCACTGCTTTACTCCACCAACCAAGAATTGCATAAGTGCGTTATCGATTAATAACAATGCTATAATTTAGAGGTGTGTTTGGTACAACTAACATCGTTTTGTTACAGGTTTGACCGCAGGAAGAGGTACAAGACCAAGAATTGGCGCGTGACACACAACTCGTACATCCATTTGTGGCAGACCAGGGTACCATATGCGGTCCTTGCGGGTCCTCCACACGACCAGCACACCTTCGACGAGTACCTGCGGTGGCTTCACAGGCCTACGAGGACACATATCAAGCCCCCGTACACTGACGTGGCGATTGACGAGGACTCGGAGAAAGATGTCATCGAAGATGTGTACGATGTTACCACTAGGGAGGACACACAACTACAGAGAGCCCCGCTTCAAAGATACGTGGTAAGATACTTGAATGGTACAATTTGTTATCCTTTCGGTATTAAGTATGTGTACTAAAACTGTCCAACCGCGTTTCTATACCCAGGCGACACAATTGTCAAGGCTGTCCAACGAAGCAGCGTTCCGGCTTCATGAGTCTAGAGGGCAGGGACCAGGCGTTCTCGCGGCTTTTGTGGAGGTAAACATAAACTTGTCCGTTTCGAAAATGTTTCTTTAGTATATATGCGTTTGGGTAATAAACTAACTTTAACGTCTATTTATGCAGAAGGTGAAGAAGAGCTGCAGGAAGTTAGCTCAGAAGCTGAGCTGCATGGACACTCCTTATGAGGAACCGCTACTCCCGGCGCGGTCGGGTGGCACGTCTTCAGCCTCTTTGAGGACACCAGCCGGCTCTTCTCAGCCGATGACAGGTGCCACTTCCGCGATGCATACACCACCACATCATAGCGCTAGGAAGGACCCTGCAACCGAGGACGAGGAGGATGATGACAACGACGATGAACCCCCGGGCTTCCGCAGACAACACGACCAGTGGAACGAATGGCCGCAGGACGAGATCGGCATGTCTCAGCTACGTGGTGCCCCGCTTGGCACCCAAGGAGCCTCACAGGTACTAACAAAGATAGTTTGTTTCAATACGTAGGATCATGAACTAACGATCATAAAGAATTATAAGTAATCGTGCGTATCATATACCTGCAGGGTACGAGCCGTACGCACCGTCAATACGACCATACCGACGTTGGCTACAATACCAATGTGTTGCCAACAAATTCGAAGAGACAGAGACGTCCGAGGGATCCTTACACTCCTGGGTCTTAGTTTGTTAGGTCAAACGAATATTGGCATCCGAAACTTGCGGGGTTATTTAGTTATGTTATCTCAAACTTATGTCAAAACAATGAATATGTTATGTGGCAGCTTGTCAACTTGCTTCTTATTCGTTTCTTTGAGTCGCGGCAACACTGCCGACGAGATTAAGTACCAACTAGTTCGGGAACCAGTAGTCTCGGCGTATCTGGAAGCCGGTGGCAATTTTTCATAATCAATTAGTTAAAATAGTGCATAACCGTATTATGAAAGACGAAAAACTAATCATTGGCTTATCAAATTCTCTATTTGGCCGTGAAAAAAACTCAACAAAAGACGGACGCGACGCGTTTCGATTCAACCATCCAGGTACCACGGGCAGGCGGCGGGCGCAGCGGCCATGTGGTGTGGCTGCTCGGGCGGTATATTTGGTCCAGCCGCGCCACGGAACAGGGCACGGCACTGCCGCGCCAAGGTCGGTGGCGCGGCAGGACCAGCCACGTCATCGGTCCCCCAGTCCGGCCCTCGCCATGTCAGCCCTCTACCGCGCCACCATACATGGCGCGGCACAGGCATTTGGCCGCGCCATGGCAATAGGTGCGACCAAAAGTGTTAGTTTTAAAAAAAAATCCGACAGTGTTAGATTTAAAATTACATTCAAAAAAAGGTTAAAATTAAAAAAAATCACAAGATCCAGGTGCACAATCACCCGGAAGGTGAGTCCACGCTTGCCGTGACTGTACGCTGCCGGCGGGGCCAAGCCATCGTGGACCATCACTGACCTACCAGTGAGGGTAAGCCAGGTTACCTTGGGCACTGTAAGTCGTGAGCAGAAATCTTCTTAAATTTCACCAAATACTCAATTTCAGATGAACTGCATTTTAATTACTACAAATCATATTAAAGCTCATAGATTCACGTCTTCATCAATCTGTTTTGCTCCTTCATTTTTGTAAAGAACTCGAGAAGATATCTAACATCCTAGAGCTTCCTATCAGGTCTGGGCGTTCGGGTTACCCGATTTTTTTGGGTCGGGTAATTCGGATAATTCAAAATTCAGGTAACGAAAACTACTGCCCGATATTAGTCCTGAAAAAACACTACCCGTAATTTCAGGTACCCGATAATTCGGGTTCGGTTCTGGTATTCCCGATATTCCCGAATTTACAAAAAAACAACAAACTACACAAATATTCAGTAGCAATTTATATATAATTTCAGCAAGAATTTATATAGAATTTCAATAGCATTTTGTAGAGAATAATGTATTACAATCACTTGTTCAAATAGAGAGAATTATATTCTAATAAAGTGATAAGTTCAAGTTTTCAACTAACAACACGTGACAAATACAAAGACAGAGACAAATATTTAGGTAGTTCGGGTAGTTTGGGTACCGGGGGATATTACCCGAATTAACCAAACTAATTTCGGGTAATCAAAATCGCTATCCGAATTTAGAATTAGATACTTGGGTTTGGGTAATTCGGGTCCAGGTTCATATAATTCGGTACAGGTAATGGGTATCGAGTGTTTTGCCCAGGCTTACTTCCTATTGAGCTTCGATACTCAATTGTTTAACCATACCAATAAAATGACAAGATTATCCAAGATAGCGCGGCAACGCCGCGCCCAGGTTTAGTGTAACCCGAAAAAGAGTCGCTGCTCCCAATGTCGGCGCGTCCACCCCACGTCTCTAATCCAGCCCACATCGGCCCAACATGCCTCCACCCCCACCCCAGTCCTGACGGCCTCACGGGCTCACGGGCCCTACCCGCACGGCCACAGCTCCACTCCCGCAAACCTCGCTCCCGCAGCTGTGCCCCACTGCCCCCAAAACCTAACCCTATCCCGGCGTGAGCGAGGGCCGAGGGCTGGGGCGGAGCGACGGCGCGACCGCGAGGGGAGCTCGGGGCTTCGGCGGCGCGAGCGCGACCGCGAGGCAGGTTTGCAGCGACTAGGCGAGCATTGAGCGGGGCGTTGGTGAGAAGAGGCGGCGAGTAAGAGCGGGAAGCATTGGGCCGTTGCGTGGGTTGTGTCGGCCTATAGGCCCAGTTGGAGCCGGGACAGGTTTTGCAGGTAGGGTTTACTGCTTATCTTCCTTCCTCGACAGTCGGCACTCGGACCGTCGCGGCGTCGCCTGATCGCCTACGCCGCTTCGTCCTGCTTGTCTGGTGCTACCGAGAAGAAGAGATTGGCAATGAAGGACCGCCACCTCTCGCTGAACCAGACGCAGCGGGTCCGCCTCGAGGCCGCGCTCCACGAGCTCCAGTCCCTTGCGCCCGCCGCCGCGTCCGCCGCCGCCGTCACCGTCGCGGACACCATTCCCGTCAATCAGGAGGACAACATCCTCAAGTACAGAGCCTCCCTCTCTCTGTTTCTTTCTTCCCCTGTCGGTCCGTTTATGTGCGGCTTATGGGTGGGTGCGTGTGGTGCAGGGGGCACGGGACGTCGGACCAGGACGGGGAGGTGGTGGCGACGCTCTGCGGGGTGGTGGAGCGGGTCAACAAGCTGGTCTACGTCCGCACTCTCCGGGCGAGGTATGCGCGCGCCTCTGCTTTGTTCGTCTCCATTGGCGTATCTATCTATTCCTCTGCAAACAGTGGAGGAATTCCGTCCCCGGTTTTTTTACCTGTTCACGACTGAGGACTGACTTATACCAATCGGACAAATACACTGAATTGAGTTGTGAACTTATTATACACTGAACTTAATGGTAGGTTGATATTCAGTCTGCATAATTTAGGTTTGGTTATATGTTTTCCTGAATTCATATGTTTGGTCAATCAGATTACAAAGCCCATATTTGATGTTGCTTAAGAAGTGTGGCTTACTTAATCTTATTCCCCATACTTAATTTTTCTTTATGTTTTTGTTTAGAAAAATGAACTCACAAGCAGAAAATTTAGTCCAATTTGTTCTCTTTGACCCTCTTTCAGATACAAGCCAGAGGTTGGTGATATCATAGTTGGCCGTGTCATTGAGGTGTGTGAATTCATGCTTTCTGTCTGTGTTTGGACTTTCTTCTCATTTAGCTTAAATGGGCTTGTCGTGCTAATTTTATCGCAGTACTAGGATTCTCTACACTTCATTGGCTTAGAGATTTTGAATATGAAACCCACAACATTATTGATCGTTTTATAACATGCAGATATGAGAATGTGTTCCCCTAGATACTGCATAGATTGAACTTATTTTACCTTCATTTTGATTAAGTTTGTAGCTCTGACTAATTATAGGTGTTTAATGGCCAATGGCTTTTTGGTACATATCCATTTGGTGATCAGAGTTATTAGGCGAGTGTGAATCTTATAGTGGTTATGTTTGTCACAAAGTTAGAACCAAACATTATTTTCTTTATGGTGCAAACAACACACTACATTTCGTACCATAATTAATTGGTTTGTGTTTCTCAAGATTGCTCCTAAGCGCTGGAGGTTGGAGATCAATTTTAGCCAAGATGCTGTTCTGATGCTTTCGTCTATGAACTTGCCCGATGGTATTCAGGTGCGTTTTTCTGCATATTTGCCTTGTAACACCCTAAAATTGGACAGGCAAAGGATAAATAAAGCTAACTGCTCAGCAGTAAGCACCATGTCAATGCATAAGAAAGTTTTGAGCGCAGCATAATCTCTAATTCTCTACCATCAATATGTGTAAGTGTAACACATTAGACACCAAGAAATTATTCTATTTCCATGTTTGCGGCAAATTATGTACTGCAAACAGTCTTAATGTTGTGTCTGTTCAAAATAATTAATGAATGCAATCCTGAGTAAATTACTAATTACATTAGCGATTCTTGTTCAATATCCAATTAACTACCTTTTCCCCTGCTGCCTCTACTAGAGAAGGAGAACTGCTGTTGATGAGCTTAATATGCGGAGTATCTTTGAAGAAAATGATGTTATCTGTGTAAGTGCAATATTTGCTCTGTTTATTTGAAGCAGTTATTTTGTTTTGGTAACGGAGTCGACACTCAATTTCATCTTGTGTATAGTGACTTCAAATCTGTTTTTACTTGGGGTGTTGCACTGACACTTTTTTCTTCTATATCTATAATGTCAGTAGCACCACGAACAAAGAATGCACGATCAATGTGGCAATGCCCACTTTTCGTCATTATTATATGTCAAGGAATCATCTTAGCATATTTGATTGCACTTCCCTTTTCAAATGTTTACTTAGTCCTGGAGCAACTGCTGCTGTGTTTGTTTGTTGTCTTGAGGTTGATGGCAGTTTGAGGCATCATTTTAAAACTGCTCATTTGTTGATAAATTCCATTGTTAATCAAGAGGCTTCTGCAAGCTTCAAGGCACTACTTAAACAGCTTTATGTTGTTGCACATCTATCATACAGTTGCAATTCACTTGGCAGTATTTCATTTTCGTGTTACTTATAGTATTTTAATCTTGGTGATGAACCCGACAATGGGCCCTTACACGAGATTGGAGTAGGACTATATTTCTTTTTATATTCAGTTTGCTTTTTTTTTTGACTTGGCAAAGGCTGTTCGTTGTTACTTGAATTCTCGATTATCGATTACTTAATATGGTTCGTCATAAGCAATTTGGGGACTTGATGCACTGAAACTGCATTTGTATTCATAAAGAATGATATTAGGCATGATACCACAATTGTATTTATGACCTAAGATCCAGTACTCGGTCGAAAAAGCGAAGGCCCAAGAGTGGCTAGAGGAGGTCGGGTTTGTGGGGGCTCAAGGCCCATATTTATCATATTTTACATAATATTAGAGTTATTTTCTATTATTATATATTCAGAGACATATAAATACCAGTAAACTTTATTGAGGAAAGTAAGCGAAACAATTATTGTTTCCGGCTTCCTCGTGGAGCCGGAGAAACCCTAGCCGCCTTCATTCTTCCGTGGAGCAAGATGCAAGGCAATCAGAAGCGCCATGCTGCCTCTCCTTCAGCGAGATCACGGCGCCCGCCGTGGTCCATCATGTTTAAGCCTCGACCCCGATCACCCACCGCTACAACCCACGCTCGGTCGGAGGAGGAACCTCGGTTCCTATCGACTTAGTACCAGAGACCTTGTCGATCATGGACACCCCTCATTGTCTCCTCCCGGCGCCGCCATCGCCGGCGATCCCGCCGGTGCCGACCGCCTCCACCGCTACTTCGCCACGGTGGGCGTTACAGTGGTGCCGCCTCCCAATCTTGAGCGACCACCGTCGCGGCCATGGCTGGGTGTTAACGCCGAGGAGGTGGCGACCTCCATCGTCAATCTCATCCATGGCGTGAAGGAGCTGCAGGACATGATGAAGGCGTTCGAAGCGCCAAGATGCGTGGTTCCACCACCGCAGCCTCGTCACATCCTCCTCCTCCGCCGCTGCCGTTGCCCTCATCCGCCTCGATGCCGAATCACCTACCCTACGGATGCTTCTACGGACTCCATGCCGCCGCCGCCGTCGACTTCCGTTCGGCCGTCGGTGTCCCGGTCCCGATCCATATGCCGCAATTTCGCGACTCGCCGTCGCCGATTCCGGCTTGGGCCCTTGGATCTCGGCGGCGACCACTCCATGACCGCGCTGCATTATACTCCTCGGCCGCCTCGGTCCACCATCCTCAGCTCCATCGACGGTCGCCCATGGGGGACCCTATGCGCGCGAGGATCTCAGACGGTGGCGTGGGCGGTCATTGTTTCCACGACACGGCGCCTCTTGGCGGCTTCACGCGTCACGCGTGCCACGGGGCCGACCAGAGGGTCCCTACGAGCGCCTCAAGAAAGTTATGGGGGCGGTCTCGACCGCTGCCGCCAAGACGATCGCCTCGAGTTTCGCAACGCACGACGGCTCGGAAGACCCCTCAATTGGCTCAACCATCTGCGAGCAATTCTTCCGGGCCAACGATGGCCGGCCGCCCGTGAACGTGGATTGCGTCGTACCACCTCCGGGGCCTAGCGCAAACCTAGTACTACGCCGAAAGCGGAGATGAGGGCATGCCTTCTTGGGAGCGCTTCGTCGAGCTATGCCGCTTAACGCCGGACCGCCGATTCGCGGTATTTCTATTTGGCGGAGTTGGGGCGCTTGTTGCCCAATCCACGGTCCAGAGTTCGCCAACCGCTTTCAGCGGTGTCCCGCCATGCGTGGCGCCTCGGCCAAACGAAGGCCGATCTCTTCGGGGGCCTTCCGAGTACATTGGTGGATGTGGAGATGCGCGATCCCCGTGACATCCAGACGGCCATGTACTTGGCGCGGGCTTTCGGCGTCGGCGGCGGCCATGCCCACGGCGCCACTTCCCCACGGGTGCCCGGCCTCCACCTCGTCTCCGGCCGCGCCCCGCGTGCCCGCCACCGGCGGAATGGGGCTCCAGCTCATCCGGCGGCTGCCCTCATGGTGGCGGCGCCCTCCCGTCGGCGTCGATTCTGTCGCCTCACGCCGGCCGTGAGCAGTTGAGCGCCGCCGTCAAGGGTCAGGCTTCAATCGCGACGGCAGCCCTATATCCGGCCATGTGTGCCCCTACCGTTTTACCTCGAGTCTCACGGACTTCGCCGACGAGGCGGCCGGGAGGTGCTCGCTGCAGAAGCCGACGCACCGCCTTTCCAGACGAGCCGGCCGGCCAAGGTGTGGCGGTGATCGTGCAAAGCAGACGCCGCTAACGCCTTGTCGTTTCTCTCCATGTTATTGCGAGAATCCGCCGCCTAACGCCATGTCGCTCTCTCCGTCACCGTCAAAGATGAGAGTTTCCTCGCCCTCCTTGACACCGGCTCCACTCATAATTTTGTCCAGGGGGCGTGTTGCGCCGTTTGGGCTCTGTCTCACCGGGGTGACCACCTCCGTGTCACGGCCGCCAATGGTGAGCACGTGGCGTGTGAGGGCATTGCTTTCGGAACGTGCCGTCCCAAGATCGGGCGACGAGGACTTCACCATCACATGTGTTGGCCTCAACACGGGCGCCGACTTCATCATCGGCCGGCTTCGACTTCATTCGCACATTGGGCCCCGTGTTGTGGGGATCGCGACGCCTTACCATGGCGTCGGAGGGAGGGCCGCCGCGTCACTGGCGGCGTGCGCGTGCTCGCCCTCGACGCCTCCCCACGGCCCGGTGACCGCGGTCACGATCGACCCGCGGCTACCTCTCCCGGATCGCTTTGTTGGCGCAAAGACGGTGACATCTTCGACGAGCCATCTGGGCTCCCTCCGCGGCCCTACGACCACCGCGATCCACTGCCGCCGGGACGGCCCGGTGGCGGCGGTGCGGCGTCACCGATACCCGCATTTACGCGAAGGGGACGAGCTCGAAGCGCCAATGTGCGGCGATGCTTGCCCAAGGATCATTCGCCGAGCACGCCCGCCGTTCTCCACGCCCGTCCCCTGGCTGGTGTGCGCAAAGGCGGACAAGTCGTGGCGCTTCAGATCGACTACCGCCCTCAACGCCAAGACCTCCAAGGACAAATTCCCAATTCCGGTGGTTGACGAGTTCTTCGGATGAGCTCCATGGGGCTCGTTTCTTCACCAAGCTTGACCTTCGTTCGGCTATCATCAAAAGCGCATGCACCCGGAGGACATCGACAAGACGGCTTTCCCGCACCCATCAGGCCACCGAAGTTTCGGTGATGCCATTTGGGCTCTCAATGCCCCGGCAACCTTCCAAGGCCGATGAATGACGCCCTTCGCCTTACTGCGGCGGTTTTGTCTTTGGTATTTTTGATGATATATTAATTTATAGTCCATCATGGGCCGAGCACTTGCGGCATGTCAACATCGTCCTCCACGCGCGCTCGGGTACCACCTTCACTTGAAACGATCCAAGTGCTCGTTTGGCGCATCGTCGATGGCCTACCCGGGCCACGTGATCTCCGGCGGCGCGCGCCGCCATGGACGCCGACAAGGTCGCCGCCGCGTGGGCTGCGTGGCCCCCGCTGGCCTCGCCGCGGCTCGCGTGGTTTCCTCGGCCTCGCTGGCTACTACCGGAAATTCATTCAGACTTCGGCATCATCGCCGCCCCACTCACGCGCGTCTCTTGCGGCGGGGCGCGTTTGTGTGGGACGACGATGCCGGGGCATTCGAGGCGCTCAAAGCGCTTTGACCACAGGACTCGTTCTTGGATGCAGACTTTACTAAGCCCTTCGTGGTCGATTGCGACGACAGCGGCGCGAGGTTTGGCGCAAATCCTCCACCGTGGCGCCGGGCCCTCGCCTACCGGGCCCGCCCTTCGCGGCCCGTCACATCAACTCGGGCGGCCTATGAGCGGGAGTTGATCGGCTTGGTTCGAGCCGTTCGCCATTGGCGCCTATATTTGTGGGGCGCCACTTTTTGGTTCATGACCGACCATTACTGACTTGAAATTTTTGCTTGATCAACGATTGTCTAAGATTCGCAAACATCAATGGATCAACAAGCTATTTGGTTTCGACTTCTCGGTAGAGTACCGTCCGGGCCGCTTGAACATCGTGGCAGACGCTCTCTCTCGCCGAGACTTGGTAGATGGGGGGGCAGCCGTCCTGGTGGCCGCGGCTGCAGCAGCCCTCCCCGTGTCGGGACCATCCTTCGAGCTTCGGACGCCATCCGTGGCAGCAACAAAGAATCGCCGCGCGACGCCCAAAGAATCGCCTTTGGCGCGACTCAGCGGGGAGTTGGCGGCCCCATGGCGCCTGGCTGACGGCCTTCTGATCCGTGGCTCCCGCGTCTACGTGCCGGACCAAGGGGACTTGCGTCGCCAAGTGCTCCTCTTGGCTCACTCGGTACCGCCATGAGGGCACCGGAAGACGCTACATCGACTCGCGTGCGATTTCTACATCCCTCGTGATCGTGTGTTGGTGCAGGACTGGTGCGTTCTTGCACCACGTGCCGGTATAATAAGACGGAGAGCGGTTCAGCCCCGCGGGCTTCTTGCGCAGCCCCTAGACGTCCCCACCCAAGTGTGGGCGGATATCTCGCCGACTTCATCGAGGGCTTGCCCAAGGTTGCGGGCAAGTCGGTCATCCTCACGGTGGTGGATCGCTTCTCCGCACGCCCACTTCATCGCTTCGCCACCCTTTACATCGCTACGTCCGTCCGCTCGTGCCTTCTTCGACGGCGGCATCGTTCGCCTTCACGGGTTTCATTGTCCATTGTCGTGACCGGGACCCCGTGTTCACCGGGCACGCTTTTGGCGAGACATCTTCAAGATGGCGGGCGTCGATTGCGCGATGAGCACAGTTTTTCCATCCGCAAACGGATGGCCGATCGAAAGTGGTGAACAAGGTCATCGCCATGTACCTCCGTTGTGTGTGGGGGGATCGCTTCAGCGTGGGTGGATTGGCGTCGCCGGGGGAGAATCGCTACAACACCTCCTTCCACACGGCTCTTCGCGCCACACCGTTTGAGGTCGTCTCACGGTCGCCCTCCTCCGCCGCCGCCGCCGCCAGATTCGCCGGGTATACGGCTTTCGGACCGAGGCTGCGATGCGCTTCTTCGCCCCGTGATGAGATCCTCGCCGAGGTGCGCGTAACGTCTTTTGCGAGCTCAAAGACTGTCCAAAAAAATATTATGATGCCGCCACCGCGACGCCGAGTTCCGGTGGGCGACCGGGTGTGCTGCGGCCGCTCAACCGCACGTACCCATGCACTCTCCGAGGGCCAAGGCAAACTCGGTCCTCGCTATGCCGGGCGTTCCGCGTCTTGAGGCGTCTTGGGGCGGTAGCGTATCGTCTCTCTGTTGCCGAGGGTGCCCGTCTTCATGATGTCTTCCACGTGGGATTGCTCAAGCGCCACCGCGGTGACGCTCCAGCAACGCCGGCCAGCATGAAGCCGACCTTTGACGGCCGTTACACTCCTGCCCCGGCCAAGGCGCTACGTGTCCAGCGGCGCCGTGACACCTTGCAGGTGCTGATCCAGTGGCATGGTTTTCCAGAAGAGGATGCGACATGGGAGTCCGTCGACGAGTTCCGCTCCTTCTACCCCGACTTCCAGCTCGAGGACGAGCTGTTTGAGAAGGCGGGGAGAGATGTTATGACCGGCATCCAGTACTCCAGGCGACGGCCCAGTAGTGGCTAGAGGAGGGCGGCGGGTTAGGGGGCTCAAGGCCCATATTTATCATATTTTACATAATATTAGAGTTATTTTCTATTATTATTATTCAGAGACATATAAATACCTGTAAACTTTATTGAGGAAAGTAAGCAGAAACAATTATTGTTTCCGGCTTCCTCAGGGAGCCGGGAGAAACCCTAGCCGCCTTCTTTCTTCCGTGAACAGTACCGCGGCACTGTAGAGCCGGTACTGTAGCGCCGCCACCCTCTCCCTTCGCGAGATCACGGCGCCCCGCCGTGGTCCATCGCGGTTTAAGCCTCGGCCCCCGATCACCCACCGCTACAACCTACGCTCGGTCAGAGGAGGAACCTCGGTTCCTATCATGTACCTACTCTCTAGTCTTTATACACCATTGATCGTTCATATTTGTGAACCATGTTTGCACACATACACTAGGTCAATTCACTGAAAGAAAGCTGTTTGATCTGTTGAGAAAGGGGCCAGATGGTGAGTGTTTTGCATGTGGAAGGACTTCTTTTGTGCTTTGCTCACCTTGCTTCCCTTTCCCTCATGTTGACAAGTTGCAATGGGTTTTTCCACTCACTTCTTAATTCTTGCATTCAACCCCCCAGGAACTTCTGTGGCCTCTATCTTTTTATAGTTTGATGGGCAATCTCATTTTCCCTTGTTATTAAAACTGTTTTAAAATAATATGCTGCTACTTTGCGTGTAATCCATTACCAGGCTGAAGTTCGCGGTTTTCAGCATGATGGATCTCTGCACCTACAGGCAAGGAGTGAAAAGTATGGAAAGGTACATGCCAGTTTAGATGACACCCTTGTCCTGTTATTAATCTGTCGCTTTTAATGCCTCCAATTTAGCATTGTGTCATCTGTAAAATATAGAGGCCGTAATGTGAAGTGCAAAAGTTGGTCTGTTAGATCATTTGGTGCAACGATGCAAGGGAGACTCATGGATGTTTCATAGATGTGCCTTAAGCCTCCATGCCTTTAGTTTTCATTATGTTGATAATATCTTAAGTAGGTTTGATTTGTATGTGTCGGCTCTAGTTAAAATCTTGTCTTACAAAAATTTACCATTGCTTGAGGCAAATTAGGCTGTTGCTGATATGGTTTTGAGGGGTTTTAATTTATTGATGCAGCTCGAGAGGGGTCAGTTGCTGATGGTACCTCCATACTTGGTTAAACGAAAGAAGCAGCATTTTCATCATCTTGAGCAGTACAATGTCGACTTGATTCTTGGTTGCAATGGATTCATCTGGGTTGGTGAGCATGTTGTGGTGGGTGAAAAAACAAAACCGACAGGAGGTCAGCAGAGGTTCAGCACTGAAGCAGAGAATTTTACCCCATTAGAGACGAGGAAGCACATTTGCCGGCTTGCCAATGCTGTACGTGTGCTCTCAGCCCTAGGATTCACTTCGACTGTTGAACTGATAATCGAGACCATGGAAGCAAGTGTATCATCAAATGTAGAGATAAATGACATGCTCGGTGCTGAATTTTATGTCCAGACGGCAGAGAGAGAGGCTAAGCGTCGAGCTGATCTGTTGAGAAAGAAGAATGGGGCAAGGTAAGTAGGTAGCACCCGTCCTTGCTGATTCCGGCTGCCTGATTTGCAGAGAACAGTGCCTGACATGTTGGGGTGTCCCGTCCGCATGAGACCTGTAAGTCTGTAACAGTGCCATAATGCTTATCTGATTGTATCTAAGGCAAAATACGCAATCAAGTTCTTTGGACACCTTTCCTAGTAGCAAAGATGCAAGGAGTTCGCTCCAGTCTGCTGTACATGCATTTGATTATGGTGCCTGGTGCCGGCAGTGTTGTACCTGGCAGATCTTTGATCCGTTTGTTGCTAACTCAATGCACTTCTGATTTGAAATTTGTCGTCCTTCGTGTGGAATGTACCTACCAGTGACATGAAATATGTTACCTGGGAAATCTGCAACTCATTAGCCAGGCTATTTGAATATCTCATTAGCCAGGCTATAGAATGCCCATCACAGAGTGTGCAAGTCACCAACACCTTGTGAAAACCTTATCGAGGAGCTTTATGCCTTTATTATGCGAGTGCCTTGGTGTCAACAAATTTGGTGTAGATAATGAGGAGCAAACTTATTATAGTTTCTTGACATGACAAATCACTAATGTATCATGCCTAGAGATTTCATCTGTCAATTTTGGTAGAAATCTTAAATCTCCTCTACTGAAGCTTGGTAAATCTTTGAGCAAACGAAAGGACGTGGTTTATGGGAAGCCGGAGTGAAGACGATCTATGTTCAGTAGAACTACACACCCGTGCCAATCTAAATGATGTAATTATGTAAATTCAGTTTAATTTTGACAAGTGGGGCCCACGTGACAGTACCCTTGGCCTGGACCTCCCTCCTCGCTCAGCCCGCGCCCGCGTCCCCGCCCTCGCCCCGGAACGAGGTCGTCTGCAGTTGACAAATACGACTTGTCTCTACGGTTCTCATCCAAGCCGTTGATACTAGATCCAAGGGTGAGCTCCAGAAAACTAAACTATAGGCCTCAAACCGGCCCATGTGAGCCCATCCTGCACCATTCTTATCCCCTCGCGACTCCAACCTCCGCCTCCGTCGTCGCTCGTTCCCCATGCCGCGCGGCTCCTCCGTCGTCGCTGGGCACCTCACCGAAGCGCCGCATCGGTCTGTTGGGTTGATTTCCCACGACCGCGTCAGGTGTCACCACGTCCACGTCCCGGGGGTGGGTCGGCTGCCTCTGCTTGCCGCGCCTGTGCCTCCTCCTCAATCCTCGCCACCGCATCGGATTCACATCGGCATCGCCCCGCCGCGTGGTGATGTGCTCGCCTCTCCCGCCATACCCAATGGTGTGGCGTGGTTGGACGCGCCGGATTTTTGCGATGCGACGCTTGCCGGCCTGGCCTAGGTGCGCCCGGGCGTGTCGTGCACGAGGACAAGAGTTGAGATATCATTGGCTGTAAGTAAATCTGGCATTTGATCTGAGCCATTATTATATACAGGCAAATATATGATGATTAGTGAAGGAATGAAACCAACTCTACTAGGAATTCAGTTACCAGGTCGATTATGAATACCTTGTTCTCTACAAACTTTTGCACGAACAATCATGCTTCCCCTCTGTTCATCCTTGGAATGCCATCGTAGGGGATTTTAACTGGAAAGCCATCGTTCATTGTGTTTGGTTCTTGTTTTACCCTGAAAATACTAGCACTCCTTGCAGTCTGTGATTTCTCATCTAGAGGTGCTTTGCTAAAAGAAATGTGGTTTTGCATTGTAGGACTCTTGAGATAAAATGTTTGGTGGACGCTTATGTATGGAGTGATGCAGAGGACCCCAATCTTTATGGCGAATGGGATTTTGAGGTGAGGAGACTTGTTTCCGCAGTCTCCGGATGTTAACGCTATGTGATTATTCCGATTCTTTAATCCCCACACTTGATCCTCGTGAATTCTATCTATAATGTATCGTCACGCTATGGCCATAGGAGAAGCTGCAGAGCTACCTTAGGATCCTATCAAATCTTTGAACTCTATCGGCCATTGCCATCCTCAGGATCTAAATTCCCATTGCAACCACACTGTGAATTTAGCAATTTGTTAGCATAATTCCGCAACTACTCTTTATCAATACGTCTTCCACGCCCTCATCTATCTGTTTCCATTTACACCCATAGCCCAAAATGTGGTATGTACATATGTGGCCTTGTGCTTTCTAACTACAAAGATTATCTCTTGCCCACAGGAGTGGAAGAAAGCGCATATGAAGGATTTCCTTGCGATGACGAATGGTTTCATGCATGAACTCGAACAACTGAATCCAAGACCGGGTGGAGACCTCTGAGTCATTCATGCAACAACATGAACAAATTTGCCGCCTTGAGGACCCAGGTTGAGGGTTGAGAGTTGCAATCATGGTCTGCCGATCTACATCTAGTCATTCTCCTGGAGGAATTACATTGGCATTGGCGCTCATCTCCCCGCCACCACGCATGAGCCTCATCGCCGACGAAGCTGTTGCGCGTCGACGAAGCTACTGCGCCGTCGACACCGTTCCTCATCACGCCGGCGTTTACCTTCCTGCCATCGCGACGCTCAGCCTAGTGGTCGCAGATGCCCGGCTTCGTGGCCGCAGCCCCTGGCACCCTATGGTCAGGCCCATCGGTGGACTGTAAAAGACTAGTGATGGGAGGATACTGTAATTGCTATCAGTTCTGTAAAGGGAATCCCGTCTGTAAATTGTTCAAGTGCTAGCAAACAATTTGTGACTATAGAAGACGTAAATATCGCCATTGTGTTGTAAATTGATTTGGAATGCTATTGTGAATGCAATGTACAAAAGATGTCACTCGTTACTGCAATTTCATATGGCTGCACAAAAGATGTTGCTGGTTACTGCAATTTCATTAAGATGCACAAAATGATGCATATTATTGGAAGCTCCATTTGGCTGATTACACTTTAACCACAAAACCAAAACTATCTGAACACCATCTGTCATTACAGGACAAATACAAAGGGGACATAATCTGTACTACTAGAATTCACCAATAACACCATCTGTCATTGCTCCCTGAAAAATAGAACAAAAATAATTCAACATAATGACCATGTATGATTCAGAGGAAAAATGTATTACTTTGTAATATTACCGTCAATAGTTGAGAGAAACTATTGATGACTGTGTATGATTCAGAGATCTCTAGCTGAGGTAAAGATGGATGGTTCAGGCATGTATTTTGTAGTGTTGCGCCATCATCGACTGACACTTTTGTAGTCTGTTGCTCCTAATCAGATAGAAGAGAATCAAATAGTTAAATACAATTGAAACTTTTTGTAGCGAATACAGTTAGAGAGAATCTGATATATTTTGTGCTGTTAAATACCTTTGAACATTTTTCTTTTTTCTTGTCACAAACCTTAGAACTTTTTTTTTCTTGTCACACACATTTGTACTGTTTTCTTTTTTGTTACCTTCCTTTTCTGTACACTTGCGATTCTTGTGAAGCCAAGTTCTTTTGAGCTTCGAGGTTTTTGTTTCCACCTGCTTTTTCTTTAGGCTTGTTGTACTCAATAATTCATTAGGCAGAGTAACATTGGTGGGAGCGGTGATGGGATCCATAGGGCTTGTAACACCATTCATTTCTTCTTCAACTTGCTTGCTGAGCATATCCAGTGTGTTGTTTACTAATAAGGTGTATTTTGGATGGCTAGAAGGTCGATATGCTAAATTGAGAAATTTGCGAGCCATATCTTTGTAGCGAAGCGTATTATCTAATTTTGGATTCTCTATTATGTCTCGACCTTTGTTGTCTTGTACTGCTCCACTGCGTGCTTCCCGTGTCCATCTCTTCAGTACATATTGTGTGGGAAGTGATTTGATATTCATCAAATCAAAGGACTTTTAAAGCATGGCCACATAGTATTCCGATTCTATTGAATTGCCCACAGCTGCATGTACTGATCTGTTCTAATGGATCACCAATAACTTTGTACTCCTTCTCAAAGGTAAAATTTTCATCTAGACTCCCAATTGCTACAAGATATTCATTTGTGCCTTCCAATGTTCTGGTGCATGCTACCATTGATCTCTCATGATGTTAAATGTTTCTTTAAATATTGCTTCATCTTCATACTCATACATACACGCACTAAAATATGAGAGACTACTCGGTTCTTTATTAATGTCTTCTACTTCTTGTTTGGGAGAAGCACCTGATTCTTCATCATCCAGTTCAGCTAGATGCTTGACAGCATTCTGCATAATGTGAAAAGTGCACAGACCATGCCATGCTTCTAAAAAAACTTTCTTAACTGCTTTTCTCATTGCATAATCTTGATCGGTATATATTGTTTTAGGTTGCTTGCCATTATGGGCTCTCAAGAAGGTCTCAAATAGCCACTTGAAGGATTTAAATGTCTCGTCATACATGAGAACAGCACAAAAAACCACTGTTTCTCTAAAATGGTTGAACCCAATAAATACGTCAAAAAGCCTACTCTCCTTGTTTGTACCAAATGTAGTATTAAAACTGACAACATCATCAAAATATGCATAGTCAGTGAGCATTTTAGCATCAACCCAGAATATGTTTGCAATCTATTCTTCCCGATCCATCTGCAGTGCATATTGAAATAATGGGTTCTCGGCAAATTTTTCCTGAAAATACATAAGCATGCTTCCTGCTTAACCATATGCCATCTCCCGTTGTCGCTTGCCCCATAAATAGTTCTTGTGGTCTTGAAGAGTGTAACTGAGATTAACTGAGCCACCAACTTGGATGCAAGCCAACTCATGAGTAGCTTTGGGCCCAATTCCAGCATCGTCAGCCGTCTCAATTTCAAAACCTTGTAACTCTGAAATTTTCCTTTGGGACGCCATCAAGTGTGAGGTTTGTGGCAGCTGAAGGGTATGCTATGATTGTGTTCCAAAAACAGATCAGTCACTTTATAATTTCCCTTATTCTTGTCCATTATAAGTCCCATGCGAACTTGACAGTTGGTCCTAGTTTCAGCTCTTGGACACTTTGTTAGATGATCTCTTTTATCTGGCTTTCTTTGACCCTCATTTGCACAAACAAATCTGTAGGAACTAACCTTTTCATCTAACTTTCTTTTGTTTGTGTACATTTTCCTCACCTCAAAGCCTTTGTGACCCCATAGCTAATCCAAAATATCCAAACCTCATCTATAGCACTGAACTCCATGCCAACTTGAGGTAAAAGATTAGGAAGCAACCCCTCCCTACAAGAAAACAGGTAAAGATGACATGATATTAGGTGGCGAACTGAACAACTACAATCTATCCCTAAATTAGTTGGACAAAAAAAAACAATCATGGCATTACACACCTATTTTCTTCCATGTTAAATATGCAAATTTTATTTTCATTCAAGCAAGTTGATGTTCCCTTCGAGCTTCCATATCAGATCTCCTTCAATCTATCCATTCCAGCAAAATCCAGTGAGGGAGGACAAAAAAAAATCAAATTAGAACAACACGTCACATCAAGGGATGACGTGAGTGCAGAAGTCCACCTGCTTACTGATCGAGCACACCACAGCAGCAGCAGTCCGATCCCGGCGCCCGCCCTTTCCTTTCTCGCGCCAAAAACACAGTCCCGGCGCCAAAGTATCGAGTAATCGCGCCAGAACCAAAATACAGCTGCTCTGTTGTATAATTTTTTTTTAGTGAACGCGGCTCTGTTGTTTGAGCCAAAGCCCAGCTAGCTGAGGGGGCAGCACTTATGTTTTGGCCACCGTTAGATATGAATGAACGCCCAGGTATTCAGCAAGAAGTCATGTGGACAACTGCAGAGGATCTCATTCCCCCGCCCCCGACACCCCGTGCTCGCCCAGCCCCGCTCAGTCAGTGCCGCCGCAACCCCGCCCCGGTCCTCGTCCAACGCTCGTGCCGCTTGCTGGGCCGCCGACGCGCCACGCCGCTGGAGCCGCTCGCCTGGCCCCCGCGCCGTGCTCCTCGCTCAGCCTGCGCCGCCCCGCGCTCCTCGCGCCGCTTGCCCGACCGGAGCTGCTCTTCTTCTACCGCGCTCGCCGGCTGCCCGCTCTTCTAATGGTGACGAGGTGGAGCCAGAAGAGCCCGGGCCTCAAGATCCTGTGGATCTGGACCCTGGGCACCGCTGCAAGTAACCGCATCCGTCATTTTTTGTACCCTTTCTTTCTTCTTTGCCTTCTATCTAATCGTGCGAACTCACGCCAGTGCCCACTGATCATTTGATGATTTGCGCGCAGTTGTGGTCGGCGGTGTCGTCCGGATGCGGGTCAACGATGTGCAGAAGATCCTTCGGGAGGAAGAGCAAGCTGCCGCCGCCGCCGCGTCGGCCTCCAGCGAGCGAGTCCTGAAGGACGAAGAGTAGAACAGGTAAGGCTGCCCACTTCCCCTTGGATTGACCGAACTGTGTCATGCACTGGCATTGTAATGTTCAGATTTAGCAATCCCACAATATGCTCGCAAAAAAAAAAAAAACACCACAATATGAGGTTAAAAAAAAATCCCACAATATGAGGTTGAATGGAGAAAGGCCCAATTAAGTGATACAAACAGGTCCCAATTGGGAACTGAAGATAATTTATATTCGTCCTATCTACCAATTTCACGTGTTAGGGAAGTGTTTACTTAGCTGAGGATATATGTAGCATCTGCCATCTGGTACTGACATGCAATATCTGAGGGAAACTATGTTTAGGTTTACATATTTTGGTTAGTTTTGTCAGGCAGTGGATAGTTGTGTTTCAACAGTTCCACTCTTGTCTGAACACAATATGAACATGCCATCTTACTGAAAATTTGGGGTATGCTGTCAGCGCTGTACTTTTGGTCATACTTATAAACTCTCTCCACACATTAGGTCAATATGCTGTCAGGGCTGTACTTTTGGTAGTGTAATTGCTTAGTACCACTTTGGTCAGATTTGTTGAGGCCTGAAGTTACAGGTTGGACAAATCTATGGATGGTATAAATGTGACCAAGGTTGTTTGGATTGGGATCCTAGGCAAGATCTTTTTTTGCTTGATATAATTGGATAGTAGGATTAGATCGTAGTATCAGTATCTTATCAGATTTTACAAACTATATAGTTTATATAAGATTTGTAATATGCTGTAAAGATTTAAGTTTATAATATTGATTTTGATTAATTTATTTGAATTTTTTTGTACATTTAAGTGCAACAACAAAGCCTTTAAGTCCCAAACAAGTTGGGGTAGGCATTTAAGTGCAACACATGGCATTATTTTCAAAGCCCCTTAACTTTAATGGTATTTCTCAAAATTGAATCATTTTAAAAGTCATTATATCAATTATTGTAATTGTATAGTATTGTATGGAATCTTCACATAGGATCGGGATACTATAAAATGTGGAACACATGGGCCATGTTTGGTTCGGCTTATGCCCAGGGTACAGTGCGGTACGCTAGCCACGGTACCGAAAATCAGGACCTCAGTTCAAATCCCACAGTTCGTGGCTTGGGGCGGCGAAGAAAATCGCGGCAGCCACGGCACGCCTGGCGCGATTATCGCGTTCTGCTGAAAATCCGCTTTTAAGCAGCTCCAACCGAGCCCATGGTAGGATTGGTGTCGTTTCGACTTGGCAGGATCATAGTGCTGTAAGGTTTTAGGATACGGGTCGGGATAGTGACAATCTTCAGTGTGATTGCTTGCAGTTTTTCTGGCACATGACAGAAGCAACATTGATATGATGAGTTTAGAGATCCCATGAGTTTTTGGACTGAAACTAGGTTGGGTAGTTCCATGGTTATTTTTATTTTCTTTATATGGGCTCTTCACTTTAAAGCAACATGCCAACAATGCAAGAACAAATAACAGCTAATTATTTCTGATAACACCTGAGGTATTGTCAGTGATAGAATTACTGTTTCTTTGTCCTCTTTCAGTGGATAGCAGAAATACTCCTGTGTTTCTTCTTATATATATGCTGGAGCTTGAGTGCTTAACTGAAATTCTTTTCTTACAGGAAGTGGAGAATTTTGCGCCATTTCGAGCTGGGGATGCATCTGTATTGAGTCCATCCTATAGTATTTCCATTTCCAAAAGACTTGGAGCTACGGAAAATTTTGCCTCCTGTAGTGATTCAAAAACCCATCCCCCTGTTTGCATTACAACTTTTATACATGATGTGAACTTTTGCTGACAAGAAAGAGAGATGGTGTCCAATATCTGTAGTGATTCAAGTAGACTGGATAGTCGGGACCTGTGAGGTGATCTGCATCCAGCCCAGGACAGGAGGTCACAAGGGCTACGCTTGTGACTAGTTTGGCTATTGTATGACTTGAGGTTGTTAATGGCTTAATGCCCTCGCATAAAAGGATACTACTAGCATTATTTATGTTATTTGCATTTCGATCAGAGTTTGCAGGTCGCCTGTACTCCTACTACCTTTGGAGTTCCATTGTTCGCTTTCGCTTGACCAGGCCTGGCACTGGCAGTCACATCAGTAGATAGCCAAAGCACGGCACATGTGTGTACACTGTCGCACGGCGAGTTGGCGACTAACGAAGCAAGTGCACGTGGTCATGGTGAGGCCAAGAGCTCAAGTCACTCTTCCGTCTGATCCGATGCCGTTGGCGTCTCGGCGATTAACAATAGCTCACCTCTTCGTCAGCGGACGTGGCGCGTCCCTTGTTGCTTCTCAAAGGCAACGACACCTACCTGCCTGCCTCTGCGCCGTGCGTCCCGTCCGTGCGTGCCCTCTGTATCTCCGATAGAGACCGCGCGTGTGCCAACCAGAAGCAACTCGCGCGGAAAGAGACGCGGGAGGCGGCGCAGGCCGATCATTGTTCCCATCCCATCCACACGATCCGGCTCGCTCGTTGCTGTCGCGGCGCCTCTGCCGATTGGTGGCTGTTGCGAGCTGGCGCGGAGCCGGAGGGCGGCGGCTTTGGTGGTAGGAGCACCGGGAACTTTCGTCACACGAGGCACCACGAGGCGAAGGCTCGTTTATCCGGCGAAGGCCGAAGGGTGTGAGCCGTGGCCGAACGCAGTTGCCTCTTTCAGAGGCCCGTCGCTAGGCGAAATAGCCATGTTCATCCTTAAACTTTCGTCAAAACTCAAATTCGTCCTTCAACTATTAAAATGGTCCGTTTAGTCCTCGAATTTGCAATTTCAGTCCGATTTCATCATCTGTCTGATGCCGTCTTCCACACAGAAGCTCACTCCGTCAGCACAGTTCTATTGGGAGACCAAAAAAGGTGATTGAAGACTTCGCATCCATGAATCACAGCTTGACACGGTTGTATTTGCATTCAGCTGGACAATGAGATGATATGTACAGTGATCGACAAAGGTTGTGAAAAGAATATGTAAACTGATGCATGGTAGTGATGAAAACGGATTGGATCGGAGCCGATAATGGCTTCCCCATATCCTAATCCATTTTTTTATCAGATTCGGAGCGGATAAGATATTATACGGATTTGGATGCGAATATAGATTTTTTAGATGTCGGAAATGATACGGATTTGGACCGGTGATGGAGCGGAAGCGGACTTTTTTAAGTCGGATAATATGTGCTTACGTGTTTTTTTTTATGATGAGAAACAGTTCATTAACCAAAGTCATAAAGCGACAATACCACATGAAATAATCACCATCAATCCACCACTTCGATTCAAGAGCTCACAAAATTAATACAAGTTCTCAGTTTAAATTTAAGAGTATAAAACAAGTGTGTAAAAAATAAATATTCTTAATTTGGCAAAACTTTACCTTCACTCTTTTGCCGTGTCCTAGCCCTCCACTTTGGTAGATGATAATTCTTTCGTCTCTGTAATTTCAATGTTCCAACCTATAGTTGACGAGCTTTGTTTGTGGACTTTAATATAATAATGCTTGTGTCATGGGCTAGGCTGACTTGTATTCTTGTCGCTTGGGCTCCTTAAAATATTCTAATTATCATATTATAAGCTTGGGCTCCTTAAAATATTCTAATTATCATATTATAAGCTTCGCGCGTTCAATTATCGGTTAATCTATATTCGTCGGATTTCGCCAATTCCATATCCTACACCGCATCCGCATATAATCGGGTTCAGATTATCCATATCCGCATGGATATTAAAAACACTTCTCCATATCCATAAAATTTGGATTCGGAACGGATCAGAGCATAGGATTATCTATACCACTAGTGCTTTTGCATTGTAAGTGGTTGTAGGTCCGTGGATAATCATGTAGTAATTATTGAAATCAAATGATTTTTGAAATCTAATTATAGTACCGACTTTTCATGACTTGTGCCTGATTTCACTGGTTTTGAAGGGTCTTTCTTTCTATTTTTGGGTGGGCACCCTCACATTTTCTTCACTCTAGGAGGCAATGGCTTAGATTTGGAGATACATGTCATGCTTACTCATGCTCCACAAATTACAGCACATGATATGTACAGAGATTTGCCAAAATCTGCAAGTGTGTTGTGTCGTCTCAAAGTGTGTTAACGGAGTGAGCTACTATAGCAGACGACGTCAGACAGAGGACAAGATCGAACCAAAATTATAAATTCAAGGACTAAACTGGCCCTTTTGATACTTGAGCGATGAATTTGAGTTTGGATGAAAGTCGACGAATATTGCCATTTCGCCTTGCAGAAACCAACGTGGTTTTGACGCCGGGAGTCGGAGGCCGGCCGGGCGGCCTGACGCCCTGCCCTGGGCCCTGGCCCTCCACCAGCTCCCGGCTCCCGGCGCCGCAGTGGTCAGACAGACGTCACGCCACACGCGGCAGGCGAGCCCTCGATTGTTGAATTTTAAAAAGAGCAGCGCAAAGCGCACCACCGAGTCAGCCGAGAGCCCGAGACAGACAGACAGATACAGAGCCCTCGCCCGCCGCCGCCGGGGCGGACGAGCCGTGGGAAATTGAAGCGGAGGAAGAGGGGGGAAAAAAAGGAGACGAGGGAGAAAGAGATGCTGCAGGTGGAGGCGGCGCTGGCGGCGGTGCTGTCCGCGGCGGCGAGCCACGCGGCGCCGCGCGCCGTGCCGCTGCACGACGCGGTCGGGCTCGTCCTCGCGGAGGACGTCCGCGCGCCCGACCCGCTCCCTCCCTTCCGCGCCTCCATCAAGGTCAGCTCGCACGGCCTTCCCTTCCTTCCTTCCCATCCGCCCCCCTCCTCCTCTCTTCGCCCTCCGTTCCGCCGCCATCGGACTACTGACGAAAACCGTCGGCCCCCTTTCCCCTTTTAGGATGGATACGCCGTCGTTGCCGCCGACGGGCCAGGGGAGTACCCGGTGGTCACAGAGTCGAGGGCGGGCGACGACGCCCTCGGCGTGGTCGTCGCCCCGGCACGGTCGCCTACGTCACCACCGGAGGTGAGGCCGCGCCTCCGCCTTGTCCCTTTGCGTGTCCTGGCCGGCTGAGCGATAGAACTGTGGTTGCTGGCGCAGGGCCGATTCCCGATGGCGCCGACGCCGTCGTGCAAGTGGAGGACATCGAACAGGTCCCCGGCGGAGCGGATGGGGCCAAGAGGGTTAGGATTCTGGCGCGGGCCGCCGAGGGGCAGGACATCCGCAATGTGGTATGCAAAGTCTGCTCACTGCACGGTTACTGGAGTTTCTGACTGTAGTGTGCTAGGATTCCGTTGTTGGAAGCAACCACCTTCCTGCAGTCATCAGCAGTGTATACAGTTCTTTCTCCAGAGAATTCGACACTGTTCAATTTACTGTGGAATTCACTTGCTTTTGCACATTGCTTAAAAGTAAGTTGCACTTGCTGACTTAGTAATTCAAATAACTGGCAGGGATGTGACATAGAGAAGGATTCGATAGTGCTTAACTCTGGCGAGCATATAGGTCCTGCAGAAATTGGGCTACTTGCAACAGTGGGTGTAACCACTGTCAAGGTGAATTACACTTCCAGTTAGCGTGGTTCATTATACAAAAGAACAACAATTGCAATGCAGCATTCTGAATTTGCAATTGCAGGTGTACCCTCGACCAACCATCGCTGTATTCTCCACAGGGGATGAGCTAGTGCAGCCAGCCACTGCCACCCTCGGTCATGGTCAGGTTATTTCTGTTCTTCCATGATGTTTGCATCCTTCACTCTTCTTTGCGTTTGGTATTCTCAGAAATGAATGATCCTCCCTTCTTGAAACTAAAATTGCAGATTCGTGATTCCAACCGAGCCATGCTTCTAGCTGCTGCTGTTCAGCAGAAATGCAAAGTGGTTGACCTGGGTATTGCAGAAGACACTGAAGAAAGTCTCAAGGAGCATATGGATGCAGCTTTGCGTTCTGATGCTGATATAATCATTACTTCTGGTGGTGTTTCCATGGGCGACAGAGATCTTGTCAAACCTTGCCTGGCAAAGATGGGTAAAATTCACTTTGAGAAGGTACCTTTGAAACCGTTCGGTGCTTTCAAAGATTTATTCTGTACCAGCTAGTTATTAGGCAATACATAACCAACAGCCAGGGATACAGATTAAATATTCATTTTACGATCCGGTTCCTTTCATGTCTTCTGTTGGATAACCTATTAGACCTGTTATCTTTGGAAAAATAATCCTTCTGAACTCAAAATCATGGTCCTTGTCCTTTTCTCAGAATGATTTTAATCGTTCGCTGCTTGTATCACATATAGATCCGGATGAAACCAGGAAAGCCATTAACATTTGCTGAGATCACAACACAAGACACGCCAAAGCCATCTAAAACAGTTCTTGCATTTGGTTTGCCTGGAAATCCAGTGAGCTGTATGGTTTGCTTCAATCTTTTTGTTGTTCCTGCAATTCGTCTCCTCTCTGGCTGGTCAAATCCTAATCTGCAAAGGTAGTAATCCTCATTGTTATGATTGTTGTCAGTTTTGTTCTCTCCTTACACTATTCAGCATATTTCTTATAAGTCTATATCCACAGGGTGCATGTATGCCTATCACATCCTTTAAGAGCAGACTCACATCGTACAGAGTTTCACCGTGCAGTAATTAGATGGGTGCTTGATGATGGATCTGGTCGACCTGGGTAAGAGCTATATTATAACTAATGATATTTGACTACAATATATTTGGTATTTTGACACCAGGTAATGTTAACATTTATTTGTTATGCGCTTGTGGCAGTTTTGTTGCTGAGAGCACTGGCCATCAGGCTAGTAGCCGCCTCCTTAGTATGAAATCTGCTAATGCTCTGCTGGAAGTACCATCCACTGGACAAATATTGGCAGCTGGGACATCTATCCAAGCCATACTTATTTCAGACATAATAACTTCTCCTTTAGACAAACTGCCTGCTCCCTCAAATCCGCATCCACCTCATTGTGGTCCTTCTGCAAAAAGTATTTCCACAGATGTATCTCAGATTGCATCTCCACAGGATGCTGAAGTTAAAGTTGCAATTCTGACTGTAAGTGACACTGTTTCATCAGGTGCTGGCCCTGATAGGAGGTACTTATCTAAGCTGAGCTGGACACCTTTTTCCTTCGTAATGTGCAATAGAAATGCATAGGTCATAGCCCCATAGCCATGGTGTGCATTTGGTTTATTTTTATAGTATGTTGACAAGAGCAAAATTGTGTATTGAATTCTCGACTTTTAAAGTGCTTGCACCCTGATACACCTATTTGCCTTGAGCTGCAAAGGGGTCACTTCATGGTGCTAAATGAAAGAGTTTGATTACTGGTTTTCTTCACATAAGATAGTGATGGAGTCCAGTAACAACTCCACATTTCACATATTTTTTTATTTGCTCTAGAGATCAAAGCAGTTTAATAATGTATCTTTTGTTCTAGTTCTTATGGTGCATACCACACTTTTTTAGAAGTTAAAAGCAACTTATACCAGTTTATCTGTTCTCTCTTTCATGGTACTTGTAGTGGCCCAAGAGCTGTATCTGTAGTGAATTCTTCATCAGAGAAACTGGGTGGTGCAACTGTGGTTGCCACTGCAGTTGTTCCTGATGAAGTGGACAAGATCAAGGGCATTCTGATACAATGGAGTGATATTGACCATGTTAACCTCATTCTGACATTAGGTAACATGATCTTGTTCTTCAGGTTAATAGTTTTGCACATTGCTTGTTTCCTACTCACATGAGCTACTTATTGGTGGATGCACATCATGCAGGTGGGACTGGCTTCACACCCAGGGATGTCACACCAGAAGCAACAAAATCTGTGATACAGAAAGAAGCGCCTGGTCTGACATTTGTTATGCTTCAAGAAAGTTTGAAGGTGATGGTGGCGTCTGTTACATTTTATTTCTTTAGAGTTTAGATATTTCATATGCTGAATGTTTGCATTTTTAGATCACGAGCTGAATGTTTGCACAAATGAATGGCTGATAAAAGTTAGCCATACAAATTGAAACAGTTATACATTACAATTGAATGTTTCAAATTCTTAAGAAACATTATAGTTAATCGTTCTATGGTGAACTGTTCTTTCTCGCGCAGATTACACCATTCGCAATGCTATCCCGGGCCACAGCTGGAATCAGAGGATCGACACTAGTACGTACTAATACTCTCACAAGAAAAAGAAAGTATCGGACAATTTCTTGGATTTGGACCTCCTAATCGCTGATCATGAGTGTTTGTAATGTTTTTCAGATCATCAACATGCCTGGCAACCCAAATGCTGTGGCAGAGTGCCTGGAAGCACTCCTCCCGGCGCTCAAGCACGCCCTGAAGCAGATCAAGGGTGACAAGAGGGAGAAGCACCCTCGCCATACCCCACACGCCGCAGCAGCACCTGTGGACCAGTGGGAGCGGAGCTTCAGAGCCGCATCAGCTGGTAGTGGCAGGGGGTGCTCGTGTGATCCCTGAGGGCCCCTGATCGACTGTGAGATACCCACCAGAGTGGGGAACCAAGACGAGACAGTAGGAGACCTATGTTCCTCCGTGCTCCAGTGCACGACTGCGTCCAGCTCTATGTTAAAGTTTTGATCTTGTTCGTTGTGATGTTATATGAAGATGCGGGAGTCTAGCTTGATAACGTGCTGTTACTTGATCGTGAACTTCTTTCACTGCGGTATTACAAATAATGTACAATATGGTTCTAGTCCCATTTACTGGCCGACGATGTTTTGCCTTCACCTGTTGCTGCGCGCGGTTTCTATCTTTTCCTTGTCATCTCTTCTCTATTTCTTCTTCTATCTATCTACACCTAAAAAAATTACTGTTGTCATCGCCGTGTGCTAATCTATCCCCTCGCTCCCTTCAACACCTTGTCGGACACCCAGGCCGGCTGGTGTGCTGCATGCCGTGACCGAATAGAGGAAGGAAAAAGGACCGTGGCCTGTTGTACTGGGCAAATAAGTAGGAGACCTGAGTCGTGAGGGTAGGCTAATAGGAGGACATCGGTTTTGGATTGATAGAGAAGAACAGAACGCAGGTTTAGGGATTCGAAAACAAAACAAAAGGACGCAGTTAATTCCAAAACAAAATAGAACGCAGTAACAAATGTACGGCCGTGCTTGTGCCGTGCGAATTCAGTTCGTTTCATCCAGGCAACGTGCGTGCTACCTTGACGCTCGATCAACAAGCTTTCATCAAATTCACAGGTACTGTGTGTTGGATATAATATGGGCCTGACCCATATAATATTTAATAAATCAATTAAAATTTTATGGTACGTAACATTAAGTGTTGTATGGTTTAATATCATATGGGATTTTGACTGAACGCTGGCTCAGTTTATATGGTTGGAAATTCTTCATATAAATTGAGAAGCTGAGAAAGAGATAAAGGCGTGCCGCGTGCGCGCCGCCGCCGCCGGCCGGGCCGTGGGCCGTGGCCGGCGGGCGGGCGTGACCAGTCTTTTGCCACTTAAATCCACATTATCACGGGAGTTTCAATCCTTGTGGAGGCGTACTGACTGCGTCAGTTACCGTCCCTTCCGCTTCTCGTCTCCTGGGATTCTCCGCAGCCTTCACCTCCTTCCCCGGTCGCAGCCATATATACGATCTTCCGTCAGTCCAGACCCCGACTTCCGCAACCACTCCCGAGAGAACCGCAAATCAGCAGCCTTCTGACTTCCCCGTCCCGTACCTCTGCGCGCACGGAGGAGCGGGAGCGATCCGCGACTGCTCGTCCATCTTCTTCCTGCTGGAGATCGGATCCGTCTCCTCCCTGGAACGTCAAGGCATCTTCTTCCTGGTGATCCGTTCCGCTGGGTACAGTCTAATCTCTGTGATTACTGTATTTTGTATTTTTACTGTATCGATCTGTATGTCGTCTATGCATGTTGTAGCGTTCATAAGAAATATACACATGCACATATATGCCGTCACAAACATGCTGATGTTATATTTCTGGATTAAACTAATAATGAAAATGCCTAAATTTCTAACAATCCAAAAACCTAATAATAGGCAATTTTCTGTCAGTAGATTTGCTGCCGCTTTGAAGCCGAATAATTTTGATGGTAAGAATTTTATGATATGGCGTGCAAAGATGGTATTGTGGTTGACTGCGATGAATTGCTATCATGCCGCACAGGGAAAGCCTGAACAGTTTACTCCTGAGGAGGAGCGAAAGTTCTTGGCTGCCGATAACCTGTTTCGAGGCGCCGTGATTAGTACACTTCATCCCAAGTATGAGAAAAACTACATATCTTGCACATCAGACAAAGAGTTATGGAATGCTCTTGAGGCAAAGTTTGGGGTTTCTGATGCTGGCAGTGAGATGTACCTCATGGAGCAGTTGTATGACTATAAAATGGTTGAAAACCGTTCTGTGATTGAACAGACTCATGAGATACAGGCGCTAGCGAAGGAACTAGAACATTTCCCATGTCTATTGCCCGACAAGTTTGTGGCCGGCGGTATAATCGCTAAGCTGCCACCTTCTTGGAGGAATTTTGCTACTTCTCTAAAACACAAGAGACAAGAGTTTAGCGTGGTTGAGCTTATTGGTTCTCTTGATGTTGAGGAGAGGGCGAGAGCAAAAGACAACCGTGGAAAAGGAGTTGAGTCTTCCGCTGCCAATATAGTGCAGAAGAAAAACTCATTTGCATCTCGTAATAAAAAGAAGAAGAACATGCAAGACAACAACAATGTAAAGCCTAAGCAGACTGCACAGTTTAAGAAGAAAAACAACAAGAAATATGGAGGATGTTTTGTTTCCGGGAGTGATGAGCATTGGGCAAGTGCGTGCCCAGACCGCAAATATAAGCAAGAAAAGAAATCAACAAACGTGGTCATTAGCGAGACTGGAGCAGGAACATCTGGGTATGGTAATTCTTTACCCTTTGTTCTTTCAGTTTGTCTTTCACCTGAGTGGTGGATGGACAGTGATGCTAATATTCATGTGTGTGTTGATGTTTCTTTGTTTATTTCCTATCAGGCCGGCAGGAGTAGAGCCTTGCTGATGGGAAACGGTACGCATGCGCATGTTCTTGGTGCTGGTACGGTTGTTTTGAAGTTTACTTCGGGAAAGACGGTGCTATTAAAGAACGTGCAGCATGTCCCCTCCATCAAGAAGAATCTTGTTAGCGCTTCTCAGATGTGTCGCGGTGGCTTTAAAATTGTGCTTGAGTCCAATAAATGTGTTGTGTCGAGACATGGAACATTTGTCGGAAAAGGTTATGATTGCGGAGGCTTGTTTCGCTTATCTTTGCTTGATGATGTGTGTAATAAAGTAGTGAACAATGTTATTATTTCAGATGAGTCGAATATATGGCATTCATGACTTTGTCACATTAATTTTGGCTGTCCCGCGCGGCTTGCAAATCTGAATTTAATCCCGAAATTTAACTTAGTCAAAGATTCTAAGTGCCAGGTGTGTGCGCAATCGAAGCAATCGCGCAAGCCTCACAAGGTTGCTGAGGCGAGAAACTTGGCATCGTTAGAACTCGTTCATTCTGATTTATGCGAAATGAATGGCGAATTGACTAAAGGTAGTAGACGATACTTCATGACATTTATAGATGATTGCACTAGATTTTGCTACGTGTATTTATTAAAAACTAAAGATGAAGCGTTGCATTATTTTAAAGTCTATAAAGCTAAAGTAGAAAATCAACTTGAGAAGAAAATCAAGCGTTTGCGGTCTGATCGCGGGGGAGAATATTTCTCAAATGAATTTTCTGAGTTTTGCGCGGTGCATGAAATTATTCATGAGAGGACGCCACCATACTCACTACAGTCCAATGGGATTGCAGAGAGAAATAACCGCACTCTATCTGATTTGGTTAATGCCATGTTGGAGACTGCGGGACTATCTAAGGAATAGTGAGGTGAGGCTATTTTGACAGCATGTCATGTCCTAAATAGAGTGCCCACAAAGAACAAAGAAATTACACCATTCGAGGAATGGGAGAAGAAGAGATTAAATCTCTCTTACCTACGAACTTGAGGTTGTTTGACAAAGGTGAATGTGCCAATAAATAAAAAGCGAAAGCTTGGACCAAAGACTGTTGATGGTGTCTTTCTTGGTTATGCTATTCACAGCGTGGGTTATAGATTTTTAATTATAAACTTTAGTGTTCCTGAGATGGCTGTTGATACAATCATGGAATCTAGAGATGCTACATTTTTTGAGAATGAGTTTCCCATGAAAAATGCACCTAGCACAACTGGTCATGAATTTATAATTCCCCATGAACATAAAAACTTTATTCTGATAGAACAAGTTGAGGAACCCTATGTGCAAAATCCTGAGGAGGATGACACTATAGTCACTAGAAAAACTAAGAGACAGAGGACTGCAAAGTCTTTTGGTGATGACTATATTGTGTACCTTGTGAATGACACACCAACGACCATTGAAGAGGCATATTCCTCTCCTGATGCTGACTTATGGAAGGAAGCAGTACGGAGTGAGATGGATTATGTTATGTCTAATGAAACTTGGGAAATTGTTGATCGTCCCTATGGGTGCAAGCCTATAAGGTGCAAATGGGTGTTCAAGAAAAAGCTTAGGCCTGATGGTACTATTGAGAGGTATAAGGCAAGGCTTGTGGCCAAGGGTTATACCCAAAAGGAAGGTGATGATTTCTTTAATCCTTATTCACTGGTTGCTCGATTGACTACAATTCAAGTTTTGCTTTCCCTAGCAGTCTCTTATGGTCTTATCGTTCATCAAATGGACGTTAAAACAGCTTTCTTAAATGGAGAGTTGGAGGAAAAGATCTATATGAATCAGCCTGATGGGTTTGTAGCAAATGGTCAAGAAGGCAAGGTGTGTAAATTATTAAAGTCATTATATGGTCTAAAACAAGCTCCTAAGCAATGGCATGAGAAGTTTGATAGAACTTTAACATCTGCTGGCTTTGTTGTGAATGAAGCTAACAAATGTATGTACTATCGGTATGGTGGGGGTGGAGTCATTTTGTGCTTATATGTTGATGACATATTGATCTTTGGATCCAGCCTCAAAGTGATTGAGGATGTGAAGGAATTTCTATCTAAAAATTTTGAGATGAAAGATTTGGGAGAGGCTGATGTTATTCTTAATATCAAGCTTCAAAGAGAAGGTGATGGTGGGGTAACCCTGTTACAAACTCACTACGTAGAAAAGGTGCTGAGTCACTTTGGGTTTAGTGACTGTGCGTCTGCTCCTACACCTTATGACCCTAGTGTGCTATTGAGGAAAAATCGGAGAATAGCAAGGGATCAGTTGAGATATTCCTAGATCATTGGTTCGTTCATGTATCTTGCTAGTGCAACAAGGCCTAGCATCTCATTTGCTGTGTGCAAGCTGAGCCGGTTTGTGTCAAAGCCGGGAGATGATCACTAGCGTGCTCTTGAGAGAGTGATGCGCTACCTAAAAGGGACCATGAGCTATGGTATTTGTTATACCGGACATCCAAAAGTACTAGAAGG